TCCCACGTGAGATTTGCAGGTGATGTTCCCGAGTCAGATTCCCCCAAGTAGATTGCAACGTGAAATTCCCAAGTCAGATTCCCAGGTCACATTCCCAGGTCAGATTCCCAGGTCAGATTCCTGAGTCATATTCCCTAGTCGGATTCCCAAGTCAGATTCCCGAGTCAGATTCCCAGGTCACATTCCCAGGTCATATTCCTAGTCAGCTGACCAGGTCAGAGTCCCAAGGTCACATTCCCAGGTCATATTACCAGGTCACATTCCCATGTTAGACTCGCAGGTGATGTTCCCGAGTCAGATTCCCCCAAGTCAGATTCCTATGTGAAATTCCGAGGTCAGATTCCCGGGTCAGATTCCCAGGTCAGGTTCCTGAGTCATATTCCCTAGTCGGATTCCCAAGTCAGATTCCCAAGTCAGATTTCCCAAAGTCAGATTCCCAAGTCAGACTCCCAGGTCAGATTCCCAAGTCAGATTCCCAGGACAGATTTCCAGGTCACATTCCCAAGTGAGAATCCCAGGTGAGATTCCCAGTTGAGATTCTCAGGTGAGATTCTCAGGTGAGATTCCCAGGTGAGATTCCCTGGTGGAGATTCCTGAGGTCAGATTCCCAAGTCAGATTCCCAGGTCAGATTCTCTGGTGGAGACTCCTGAGTCAGATTCCCGAATCAGATTCCCAAGTCCACATTTCGAGGGTCAACATTCCCAGGTCATATTCCTTTGGTCCAGCTGCCCAGGTTCAGATTCCCCAAGGTCACATTCCCAGGTCAGATTCCCAGGTCAGATTCCCCAGGTCACATTCCCACGTGAGATTTGCAGGTGATGTTCCCGAGTTGGTTCCCCCAAGTCAGATTCCTATGTGAAATTCCCAAGTCAGATTCCCAAGTCAGATTCCGAGGTCGGATTCCCAGGTGAGATTCCTGAGTCAGATTCCCTAGTCGGATTCCCAAGTAAGATTCCCAGGTCAGATTCCCAACTCAGATTCCCAGGTCAGATTCCCAGGTCAGATTTCCAGGTCAGATTCCCAGGTCAGATTTCCAGGTCAGATTTCCAGGTGAGAATCCTAGGTGAGATTCCTAGGTGAGATTACCAGGTGAGATTCCCTGGTGAGATTCCTGAGTCAGATTCTCAAGTCAGATTCTAAAAATCATATTCCCAGGTCAGATTCCCAGGTCACATTCCCAAGTCAGTCAGTTTCCCAGGTCTGTCGGATTCCCAAGTCGGATTCCCAGGTCGGATTCCCACGTGAGATTCCTGAGTCAGATTCCCTAGTCGGATTCCAAAGTACGATTCCCAAGACAGATTCCCATGTCAGATTCCCAGGTCAGATTCCCAGGTCAGATTTCCAGGTCAGATTCCCAGGTCAGATTTCCAGGTCAGATTTCCAGGTGAGAATCCTAGGTGAGATTCCCAGGTGAGATTTCCCTGGTGAGATTCCCTGGTGAGATTCCTGAGTCAGATTCTCAAGTCAGATTCTAAAAATAATATTCCCAGGTCAGATTCCCAGGTCACATTCCCAAGTCAGTCAGTTTCCCAGGTCACCTTCCCAGGTCGTATTCCCAGGTCAGCTGCCCAGGTCAGATTCCCAAGGTCACATTCCCAGGTCAGATTCCCAGGTCACATCCCCATGTGAGATTCGCAGTTGATGTTCCCGTATCAGATTCCCCCAAGTCAGATTCCCAGGTCGGATTTCCTGGTCAGATTTCCAGGTCAGATTCCCAGGTGAGATTCCTGAGTCCGATTCCCAAGTCAGATTCCCAGGTCACATTTCCAGGTCTGATTCCCTGGTCAGATGCCCAGGTCAGATTCCCAAGGTCACATTCCCAGGTCAGATTCCCACGTGAGGTTCGCAGGTGATGTTCCCGAATCAGATTCCCCCAAGTCAGATTCCTAATTGAAATTCCCAAGTCAGATTCCCAAGTCAAATTCCCAGGTTAGATTCCCAGGAGAGATTCCTGAGTCAGATTCCCGAGTCAGATTTCCAAGTCAGATTCCCGAGTCAGATTCCCAGGTGAAATTCCCACGTGATATTCCAGAGTCAGATGCCCAAGTAAGCTTCCCAAGTCAGATTCCCAGGTTAGACTCCCAGGTCAGATTTCCAGGTGAGATTCCCAGATGAGATTCCCAGGTGAGATTCCCAAGTCAGATTCCCTAGTCTGATTCGCAAGTCAGAATCCCAAGTCTGATTCTTGAGCCAGATTTCCAGGTCAGATTCCCAATTATTGCCATGAGCATAGTAATCTCACTCCAAATTTTCTTTCCCTTTATCAGGATCCCATAATGATCCTGTCAAATTCCCAGGTGAGATTTTCAAGTCAGATTTCCGAGTCAGAATCCCAAGTCGGATTACCAAGTCGCATTCCCAAATCAGATTCCCAGGTCACATTCCCTGGTCACAATCCCAGGTCAGATTCCTGGATCAGATTCCTAGGTTAGATCCCCAAGTCAGATTCCAAGGTCTGTCAGTTTCCGAAATCAGTCAGATTCCCAAGTCAGATTCGGCAAGAGATTTCCAGGTGAGATTCCCAAGTTCGATTTCCTAGTCAGAATCCCAAGTCAGCTATCCAAGTCAGATTCCCAAGCCAGATTCCCACGTCATTTTTCCAGGTCAGATTCCCAGGTCAGTTTTTTTAGGTGAGATTCCCAGGTCAGATCCTTAAGTCAGATTCCCAAGCCCCAGGTCTGATTCCCGTTGTCACGTATGCTCTCGTATACCCATGTTATATTAGTTTTGCGTGTCAGGTACGTATAATCTTTTTCCCATTGTCATTTCCAATCTCAGATTCCCGCTTTCAGATTCCCATTTCCAATTCTTAGTGCCAACTTTCCATGTCAGACTTCCGTTGCCAGATTTCCATATCAGATTCATCTGTCAGAATCTCATTGTCACATTCACCCACAGCCACATTCCATTTTCCAATTCCCGTGGTCAGATTCTCACTTCATTCTTCTTTTTTCCCCAGATTCCAGCTGACTACGTTCCAGCTGCTCGAATCCTATATATTCCCCGTTGTTCAATTATTACTGTCAGATGCTGACTGTCAGAATTCTATGTCAGATTTCTGAGCCAGATGATTCCCATTGTCAGATTTCCGTTGTTAGATAGCCATGGCATATACTCATGTCATGTTCCCGCTTCATTTTTCCATGTCAGGTTCGTATTCCCCAATCCCCCGTAGTCAGTTCTCTATTGTCAGAATTGTAATTTTAGATTCCCGTCTACAATTCCCAGTGCCGACGTTCCATGACTGACCTCATTGTCAGATTCCCATCTCAGGAATTCACAGTCGAATCCCCATTGTCAGATTCACCCTTAGTCAGGTTCCTTTGTCAAAACCTGTCACCAGATTCTTATTGCATATCAACATAACAGCTTTTGATGCTTTCGCACTCTCATGCCTCATTCACCCTGATTCCTGCCATCGACTCACCTCTCTCATTCGCTGATTTTACTGCCCAAACCGCTCCTCATGCTTACTTACGTGTCATGCCCCAACCTGCTTCCTTCCCAGCTGGCCAACCGCTCCCAGCTCGCCCATCACTGTACCTTTATCGAAAGATTCGTCGGCTATGTACACTATATACACTTGCTTACAACATTTTCCGAACCTCTAATTCCGCACCTGCACCTCCCGCGCTGTCCCATAAAACTCGGTAACGGGTACAACGAGGTTCATGCGACAGCTGTCGCATAGCCTCCTCCCCTCCCCGCAGCTCTCATCTGCAATGCCTAACCTGGTTCCTAAGATTCTTTGCCTTCCCTACGCTTGTATGTGATGAGTTTCGACTCCCCTGACTCATGCCCCCTCTCGGTCTGCCCTGCGCCCCCGCTGCTTGGTCGCGAACCGGATGCTCGGGCGACATTCGTCACATGATCCTGAACCGACCTCCCTGGCGCATTCTGTAGTGTCAGGACCCCCGACTCCTCCTTCCTGCGCACGACCCACCGCTGCTTACTCAGGCCACACTCCAGCGTATTATGCCGCGGCTCCTTCAGGTACACCTCATCCCCAATTTGCAGCTCAGTCCCATGCCTAGGTCCTCCACCTACTCCTTCCTTCCGCTGTCGGTAGCATCGAGCATCACGGAGCTGCGCCACTTCCAGATTTTCCAAGGCTGCTGGCAGCACGCTGCGGAGGTAGCTAGCGCATCTGGCTGCCACCGCCGCCCAGGTGCGCGGGTCGTCAGTGGACACCGACTGCACCATTATCAGTGGAGCGTCCACCGGCAGCACTGGCTCCTTCCCGAAAACCAGATAGTACGGGGAATAATCCTTCAGAGCCTGCTGTTTGCTGAAGCGATACCCCGCCGCCACCCACGGCAGATGTTGGTCCCACTCCCTTTGCTCTTCCTCCTTGCAGTACTTCCTCAGGCCCATCTTCAGAGTCTGGACCATTCACTCTGTCAGGCCATCAGCCCGGGGATGGTACCGTGAAGTCCGCCGCTGGGTGATGCCCACCTCTTGCAGCAGGCCGTGGAATTCTCCCGCAAATTCTCCACCCTTGTCCGTCAGAACTTCCCCACATGCGCCGACCTGGTTACGACTTGCTGGGTGAAAGCCTTTGCCACTGCTGCTGCTGTCTTCCATGCCAGTGCTGCCACCTCTATCCACTTGCTCGTGAGCTCGATCATCACGGAATGTATTGCTTGCCTCGCCGAGATAGCGGCATTTCCCCCACCATGTCTAAGGACCAGCGATACCCGATTGAACCGATGGGTAGAGACTGCAGCTCTGCCTTGGTTCGCTCCAGCTTTGCCTTGCTCTGGCTGCATGGCTCACATCTGGCCAGCACTTCCTTCACTTCTCTTCTCAGGCCCGCCCACCAGTACATGGTCTGCAGCATCTGTACGGTCCGTTCCACGGCATAGTGCCCCAACTGTGTATGTACTTTCACGATCAGGGCCTCCCTTTCCTCTGGCCGTGGCACTATCCGCCACCCATCTTCTGTCACCAGCTGCTGCTGATCCGTCTGCCATCGGTAATGCACCCCCCGCACTCGCACCCTCTCAGGAACTTCTTCCCCTTCCGGTCCTTTGGGGTTTGGTTCGTCATCAGCCAGAGCAGTGGTTGGTGATCGGTCACCAGCGTGAACTTCCTCCCCTGCAAGTAGGGCCGGAACAGTGCTATCCCCCACACTGCCGCTAACCCCTCTCCCTCGTACGAGCTATAATTGCTCTCCGCTGGGCTACATGACCTGCTGGCGTACGCCACCACCCTCTCCATTCCTTTTTCTTCCTGACAGAGCACAGTGCACATCCCACTGCTGCTCCAGTCTGTGTACAGCAGGAAAGGCTCGTCTGGGTTAGGCAGCTTCAGCAGCAGCGCCGTCTTCACGGCCTCCTTGAGGGTGGTCCATGCTCTCTCTTGCTCTTTCCCGCCCTTCCATCCTTCATCCTCACTTAACAACTGATTTAGTGGCTTGGCTGTCTTGCTGAAGTTCGGGATGAACCTGCGGTAGTACCTCAAGAATCCCAGCTGCGCTCTCAGAGTGCTACGATCTGTGGACGCCTTCAGCCTGTCAACCACCTCCGCCTTCGCCTGCTGCACCGAGAGCCCGCCTTCTCCCACCTGAAACCCCAGGTAAGCTACTGTCTTAACCCCAAGTGGCATTTCTCTGGATGGCACGTCAACCCCGCCACCTGGATAGTCACTAAGGTCGCCGCCACGTCAGCTACGTGTTGCTCACCCATCTGGCTGTAGATGACGACGTCGTCAATGTAGCATAGTGCCCGCGGCACCTCCTGGAGGACTTGGTCCATTACTCTTTGAAACTTTGCCGATGCGTTCTTCAAGCCAAATGGCATGAAGTTCTATTTGAAGAGCCGGTCTGGACCGTGAAACGCGGTCTTGGCCTTATCTTCTTCCTTGATTGGGATCTGATTGAATCTCTGCCGGAGGTCTAAAGTTGAGTAAATCCTCCCTTCCGCCAGCTTGTCAAAAATCTCCTCCGCCATCGGCATGGGGTACCTATCGCTCTTCGTCATGCGGTTCAGGCCTCGATAATCCTCCCACATCCGTCTTGCTAGCATTTCTCCTGTCAAGTACTTGTGTACCGCTACCACAGTTGCCGCTGCATACTCTGATGTTGATTCTTGAATCAAGCTGGCTGCTAGCACCTCTTTGCATTTGGCTATAGCGATGTCGCGATCCCCTGGACTCAGTCTCCGTCTCCTTTGATACACAGGCTCAGAGCTCTGCAAATCAATCTCCATCTCTGTCCGGTTACACTTGCCCAGTTCTGCCAGTGAGTATGCGAAGGCGTCTCTGGCCTTCTCGAGTACCCCCGTTAGTTCCTCCTTCTGTCCCTCCTCCAGCCCCTCCCCTATGTCCCACTGACTCTCCTCAGGGGGAGCATCCCTAAGGGGGGGGGGCTCTGCCTCCAGCTCCTCGTTCGTATCTTGCCGCTCCTCAGCCTCCTGCGTTGCTCTCGCCAAGAGGCTGATTCATCTGCTATTCAAGCACTCTTCATCCCGCCTACCTTCCTCCCTTGCCTCCACTTTCATCCTTTGCCATGCCTTCGCTATGTCCATGGCTTGAACTGGGTCTGCCTCTAGCATTTCTTCTATATCCCTCCACCTCCAAATCATCAGCAGCTGCTTGTGCATTGCCTCCTATCGCTTCTCTGCCCGGTACATCAACCATACCAGTGTGTGCTGATCTATCGCTCCCCCTAGAGCTCGCCACCTCTCTGCTTCCATCACTCCCTCTACTGCGGTTGCATTTCTCAAGTACCCTATTGCCCGCTCTCGCTCCACTGCCAAGGGTTCCTCCCATTCTCCAGTGGACAGGACCTGCACCATTCCGGGCCCTGGCTGTCCATCCTGCATCCGGAAGGCATAGCTGCCTGGGGTCGCTACCAGCGTGGGCCAGGCCTGACGTGGTGCCCCCACTTCATTGCATGGGTACTACACTCGAGCGTCGGGCATGGTTACCGGAGCAGCCCGCCTGCCTGGTTCCAAGATGTCCGTCTCAAAATCGTACGTGGGCTCTGTCAAGCCCTTTGCTTCACGGCACTCTTCCACTCTCGGGCCGGCTGCTTCCTCCCATCTCCGCCTCTCACTGCTCTTCTCCAGGTACACTCCAGCATCCTTGAATCGGTTTTCAGGCACCCGGTCTGCGGACGGCTCCCTGTACACGGGTCTCCCTCTCAGGAACCGAGCGGGCAATACAGCCGCTGTACTCTCTTCTCGCCGTAAGTCTGCATCCCAGTATCATGGCTGGTACGTGACCTTCTCTGCCCAGGTGTCCACGACTGCCCCGATTTTTTACAACAGCTCCATACCTAGCAATAGATTGTAATCATCGGAATCCGAGATGAGGCAGTGCACCCTGAGTCTCGCTTCGTTCTCTTTCCCGGGAGCCAACACTACCTCCTGCAAACGCAAGGTCCTTGGCAGGCATTTGCCTACCCCCCTTTCTGCTGTCGGTATCCTCACCCCTTCAGGTGTCACGTTTTCCTCTTGGTGGAGCCCCAAATGCTCGGCCAGTCGCCTACCGATCAGCACCTGGGAGGCACC